TAATAATAATAATAATAATAATAATAATAATAATAATAATAATAATAATAATAATAATAATAATAATAATAATACGATGTCCTCATACCTGATACACGTAATTTTCAAGTTCTTGTTTAGCCTCGACACGTTCTTGACTTTTCTTGTCATCTTCCTTGTATCGCTCTGATTCGGCAACCATACGTTCAATATCTTGTGCAGATAACCGACCTGCGGAATTCGAGATTGTAATATTTGCTTTTCGTCCAGTTGCTCGATCTTTTGCTGTGACTTTTAGAATACCGTCGGCGTTAAGATCAAATGTACATTCGAGTTCTGCTTCACCACGTGGCATTGGTGGAATACCAGAAAGTTCGAATGATCCTAGAAGATTATTATCTTTGCACATTGGACGCTCACCCTCGTAAACCGGGAACTCCACAATTGTCTGACCATCCTCTGCGGTTGTAAAGACTTTTTTCTTGATAGTGGGAATTGAAGTATTACGTGGGACTACAACGGCCATCACTCCACCTTGCGTCTCCACTCCTAGACTAAGTGGCACCACATCAAGTAATAGTAAATCTTGTGTTTTTTCATTACCAGCTTGATTTGTAAGCACTGCTGCTTGGACAGCGGCTCCGTAAGCAACCGCCTCATCGGGATTAATGGATTTATTTAATTCTTTGCCATCAAATAAATCTTGCAACAACGATTGAATTTTTGGAATTCTCGTGGATCCACCAACAAGTACAATCTCATTGATGTCTTTCTTTTCCATCCTGGCGTCTTTTAAAACTTTTCGTACAGGTTCCAAAGTAGAATTGAAATGTGAAGAATTTAATTCTTCGAATTTGGCACGTGTAATATTCGCTTGGAAATCGATGCCGTCATATAATGAATCGATTTCTATGCTGGTTTGTGTCAACGAAGATAATGTTCTTTTTGCCCTCTCACATGATGTTCTTAAACGACGTATGGCACGCGCATCATCCGATAAATCCTTTTTATGCTTTTTCTTGAACTCCATTTTAAAGTGCTCAAGAAGATTATTGTCGAAATCTTCGCCGCCTAAATGCGTGTCACCAGCAGTCGCTTTCACCTCGAATACCCCTCCAGTGATTTTCAGTAATGAGACATCAAATGTGCCGCCTCCCAAGTCAAAAATGAGTACATTTTTTTCTCGCGATTCTTTCGAGTCTAGACCGTAAGCAATGGCCGCGGCAGTAGGTTCATTAATTATGCGTAAAACTTCGAGACCTGCAATAGATCCAGCATCTTTAGTGGCAAGACGTTGTGAATCATTAAAGTAGGCTGGAACAGTAATAACTGCCTTTTTGACTTTTTTGTCAAGTTTTCCTTCTGCAATTTCCTGTTTATTAATAGGGTTAAATCACAAGGACATAATTAGACAAATCAAATCAAATCAAATCCAATTGATCAATTTATTACTATTATTGTTTGTAATTAAATTACCTTCATCCTTAAAAGCACCATCGAAGAAATTTCCTGCGGTGTGAAATTCTTTTGTTCGCCTTGATACTCAACCTGGATCCGCGGTGACCCGTCTTTATCAACGACCGTAAATGGCCAATGTTTCATATCGGATTTAACTTCTGGGTCGTCGAAACGACGACCTATCAGACGTTTCGCATCGAAAACCGTGTTTTTTGGGTTCATAGCCGCTTGATTTTTCGCCGCGTCTCCGATAAGACGTTCATTTTCTGAAAAGGCCACGTATGAAGGTGTTGTACGATTGCCCTGTTCATTGGCAATTATTTCTGTATTGCGTGTACGTGTATTCCGAGAAGGAAAAAATTAAACTTGATTCCCTTTATTTTTGGATCTAGAATAATGTTTGGACGTATACACAAGTCACAAAACTATTTACCAACTCGTTCGTTTTCCCATACAGCAACACACGAGTATGTTGTTCCCAAATCAATTCCAATGGCACCAGCGTATTCTGTAGACATTTTCTTTTTTATTATAAATCGAATATGTCTATAAATTATATATTACGTATTTACTAAATTATATATTAAAAGTATTCCTCTTGTGACGTTCGTCTTGTTTTATACTCGAAGGAGCAAGAAAAAATTTTCCGAGTAAAATCTATATTTTTATGTTGAACGAAATCGGTGCGACACGACTTTTGGAACATCTACATATAAGATGTTCACAGGAAAAAAGCAATTAAATCGTTCAAGTTGTCAGAATCCTCGAAACTTTAATTTTTCAATATAAAACAACTCTACAAAATGATTAATACAAACTTTAAAATTTTAAAGTTGCAATTTATAATTTCACCTAACTATATAATTATAACAGACATAAACGATTTACATAACTCTTTAGTTGTACAAATTTTATGTACTTTAGAATTGTATTTCTGCATAAACTTAATTGCAGCCCGCCATAACATATCATTTTGCCAAAATAGACATTTGCTTTCTAGAATCACTTTTAGTAACTTGATATAATACATACACAATGTGCTAATAACAATTATTAATAATAATTGTATCTTTGGAGAAAAAATGTTGAGAAGTAATTTTGTTATATATAATATGTTTCCAGGTAATGTTGTTAACCGGACATAATCCAATGTTGCGCTACTGGATTACTGGACTCAGTAATTTTATAAGTTCAATAGAATCCAGCCCAGTAACTTCTAATTACTAAACATAGTAAAATGATATTGATTATAAAATTAATACATAACGATAATGCCTGTTGGAGAAATTAAGAGCGATTAAAGCGTAGTCTATCACGTGATTCGAGTGGTTGATGTAATCGGGAATATTGCATTTCAGATTTTTTCAATAGCTTTAGATATTAAAAGAGTTGCATCTAATCTGAAAAATTTATGAATATGAATTGTTTGATATAATTGTTGTTTACTTATAGTAAGAATATATATTAGAAAAAAAAGATATTAATCAAAAACTTAACCATATTCTATTTAATATTGATTATATGTGAAACAAAATGATATTGGTATTATAGTATATTTTACCATCCATATTTTTATTATATTAGTATTGGTTATTTCTTATTTATTATCTTATTGGTTTATAATTATTTATATTTTTATTGAATATTATTATTTATTACATAATTTAATTATTATTATTAATTAGTAAAACAAATATTTTAATATTTTGAAATTTTGATATTTTAATCTTTTGATATTTTGATATTTTAATATTTTGATATTTTGATATATTAATATTTTGATATTTTTATAATAACTAATTTTAGAACTTTCTCTTATAATTGAAGAATAGATTTGTAAAATTTGTTTTATTATTATAATTTTAATTTAAACTAAAAATACTTATCAAAACCTCTTAGTAATTATCTAAATTCCATCAAAATTATAATAACTATTAATAAATAAAATACCAAAACTCTGTTGAATTTTGAAACCTATCAAAACTGAAATTTCTGAAATTTTAATTAATAATTTTTGTATAATTTATTAAAACTCTATCAAAATATTTCTGAAAAAATTTTGGTAAGTATTTTTAGTTTAAACTTGGAATAATCTAATAATTTTATTATTCTTCTATTTTATACTTATATAATTTATTACAAAGTGTCAATAATGATAATAATAGTAAAAAATATAATAATAAAAAAGTATTATTAATAAAAATATTTTGAATTTATAATTTATATTATATATAATTATTTTAATTATAAATTTATTTTATATTATAAACTTTTTTATATTAAGAAATTTTTTATTAAAAGCTTTTTCAATATATAAATATTGTTACTATTTTAGTGAGTTTTTAAATATAGATCATGTATTCTTTATGTGTTTTTAATCAAATAAAAAAGTTGTTATATTTTAACTAGAAGTTTTATGTATTTTAATATTTTTAAAGATGAAAAAGACTAATTTACTAAAGATTTTATAACTAATTATCTAAAAATAAGTAATAAAATATTTATATTATTGAGCAGTTAAAATAAGCTCAGAAATTTTTTTGATTCAAATAGTTTATTTATTAAGTAATCTTCTTTTATCAATTAATTTTTAAAAATAATTATCTTTTCTTTTTATTAAGTTTTTAAATAACAATAACTATTAATTAGATTGTAATGAATTAAATAAATTACAGAATAAAATAATATTATAATAAAAAGTAATTTCACAGGAACTCAAATTTTAAGAGAAGAAAAATGTTATAAATCAAAAACTAACTTTGCAGAATAGTAATAAAAGATTAATTATATCAAATAGAAGATATTGTTTATTATAGATAAAAGATCTTTTAATAAAAAAAAAGTAAAAAAATAATTAAATTATTAAATAATTAATTTTTTTAACTAACTTATTAACTTAATTATTTTTTCTAGCTAAAATATATGTTATATTTATACAAGTTATTTGTTATTTAATTATTAAAATCTAAAATTAAATTTAATTAATATTATTATTATATTGTTATCAATTTAATATTGTCAATAATTTAATATAAAAATACGTGAATAAAAGACGCAGTTATGATAAAAATTAGTTATAATGATATTTGAATTATATAGTTAGTTTGATAATATTCTACTTTTTTCTATTTTCTTTTTTATATTACTTAGCTTTCTATATTTATTTCATTATTATCTTTATTTGGATATATTAATCACACCATTTTCAAATTTCATCATTTTTTAGATTAATTTAGTTTCTATTTTTTATTTTTACTATTGGTAAAACAAGATTATTAATTATAATATAGTTAAATTTTGTGTAATTTAGAAGAGAACCAATAATTTCATAATATTAACATAGATCTACTGTGCTATATATTATATCATAACTGTACCATAATACACATTACTGTATCACTATAATACAAAAACATATATAAATACAAGTGTTAATAATTAATAAAAAAAAATCAAGTTCTTTTAATTCAGTTTAAGTTCTTTGAGTTTGATTTAGTTCTTAAGTTTTGATTTTTGAGTTTTTTTTGGTTTAATGTCAAGTTTAACATGTTGAATTAATTTTATTTTGGAATTATAAGTAATTTTTAGTTAAGTTTATTTTATAGTTTAGTTTTGTTATTAGTTTAGTTTTATTATCATTATTTTTATCTTGTTAGAAATATTATTTTATCATCATAAATATCAATTAGTTATAAAATTCAAAATAAATTGCTGTGAACACAGTCACTATTGCCATTTTGAAATACTTTCATACGCAAACACTCAAAATAATAATAATCTTTTTGGTGCTTCCTCTATAGAGGTGAATTTGAAAAAGAAAATCTGGATCTCACACAATCTGAAAGTATAGAAGTAGAATGACAATTCCAATTATTCTTAACTACACTTGAAATTGACCAAACCATACCAAGCAGAGATTTATAACAAATAAAAATATATATAATAACACTCATTGAGCATTATAATTTCAACATCAATATTTCTCAAATTCTTACTCAACTTACTGCCTGAATGTTCGACTACTCTTCAAAAACTAATCAACAAATTATAAATTATATTCAAAATTTGTGTCAAGATATTTACTACTTCGTACAGCAAAGACAACAATATAAGTTAAATTTAAAAACAAATAGAACAGAAAGAGCACAAGCCAGATAAATCAGACAACAATTACAATAATATCAATAACTCTTATAGTAATAATGATAATAACAATTACAAAATCAAACAGCTTTAGTTTTTCAAAAGAATTTTAGAAGAATTCTTGCAAGTAGATTTGTAAATTAACTTCGTCAACAACAACATCAACAACAACAGTAACATTAACAGCAGCAATAACAAGATAATGACATGACAGAACACGCAGTACAACAATTAGCCAATGCTCTTATCCCACTTATTCAAGTCATGCAAGCATAACAGAATCAACAGCATGAAACATTCACCGTTCCATTATCAACTTTCAGCAGAAATAATCACAAAGATCCAATCAACTAGTTAGACGAATTTGAGAGATTAGTAAATACAAACAACATTACCAATAACAGAAAATAACAAATAGTATCAGCTTATTTAAGAGATATAGCAATGTTATAATTAGAAATTCTTATAATTCTTATAAATCTTGTAATTCCATAATTTCTATTAAATTGTTATAATTTCTATATTCTTTATAATTTCTATATTATTTATAATTTCTATATTATTTACATATATTTATATATAAATTATTTGAATTATTTAATATTTGTTAATTTTATAATTTTTGATAAATAAGTTAAAAATATAATATTAATTAATGAAAAATATTTAATATAAATAAAGTGCAATTAAAGTCTTGAAAAAGGTATTAATTGATTAATACAAAAATTTAGCTAGTCAATAAATTGTTCCTTGTTTATTGTTAATAAAATTTGTATATTTAATTAATTGAAAAATAACTTATTAAAATACTTGCATTTATTATACATTATTGGATAACTATCAAAGTTGTTATAGAATATCAGTACTGTATTGCTATAGGACTGTTCTATATTAAGTAAATATAATATTTATTAGTAATAGTGAGAGTTTATTTACAAGATAGAAGAAAACACATCACGTGATAATTCTAAAGTATACTTATTACAACAAGATCAAGTAACTGTAAAATTACTGTCATCAGATATTGATTAAACATCTATATTATAATAATACCTATCAGAAATCTGATTGTGACAACAATCACTTAGTTTGATCAATAAAAAGCATTAAATAATAATTGGTCCATTAGTTGGAATAACAATGATAATAATTCTTTTTGTCAACCATTTTGCACACAATTCAGAACAAATGCACAAATTCTTGTTTGACAACAACAATTATAACTGAAAATGAAGAAAATATAACTCAATATACTAAAGATATCTGTACCTTGTTGAGAAAAATTGATCCAGACAATACCTATTCTGCCACTTACAAAATTGAGCAATTCATTAAAGAATTAAAAGCAGAAATAGCATTCTTTATTAATAAAGCC